ATTCGATTCGATCAAATTCAAATTGATTCAAATTGATTCGATCAAATATTTGAGTTCAATTCGATTCAATTCGATTCAATTTGAAAAAATCAAATCAAACCTCCCATATTAGAAAAATAAAACATAAAAAGTAATAAGTTAAATAATCAGAAAGATATATTTATAAATAGGATTATAAATATGTTCTATTTTACAATTACAGGTTAAGGTAAATTATATCGATCTAGGATGAACATCATTTTCATCATTTTAGATCGCATAAATTTGCGATTGATCCGATCTAATCTACAGCATCTTTAAATATTTATGTAACTTGATCGACAAAATGGCACGTGCCAAAAAATTGATCGACAATTAAACACGTATGACTGCATATATATATATTATTGAAACAAAGAGCAAGAATTGATTTTTTTATATATAAATATAAAAAAATATAAGCAATTATAATAGATTGATTTATTTAATTTGATTTTGATGTAAAGGATTTTATTATATGAAATGTAAATTTTGAAAAAAGAAGTTAAATGATGATAATAATAATAATAATTTTTTTTTTTTTGAAAAGACATTGGAATATATTGAATAACTACAATTATGAATGAATGCTTATAAAGAAAAAATAATTGAAACAAATATTATATTTCTTTACTAAGATAAGGGAACAAATTATTCGCTTGACAAATAAAACGTTCCTTTTTTTTTAAAAAAAAAAAAAAAGTGTAAACTAACAAATTTATTCTTTACAATTATTATATGTAAAAAAAAAACGCGAAGTTGATTTCATGTAAAAATGGATCATCATATTGTTGAATCCATATCTGTTCCACTCCAAACCCTATTACCAGCACGATCAGCAGTGGTAATCTTTGGTTCACTTGGATCCGAATTATATTGTACTGGTTTATAATCGGCAACAGCAATTGAACTCGCAAGCGAATTCTTTCGAATCATTGTATTTTGACGTTTTCGTTCTTTTGAAGCCATCGCCTATGTTAAAGCAGAAAGAATAAGTGGTGAGGGTAGACGTTAATTTACTTTGATCTATGAGGAAACATGTTTTTAATAACTGGAGGAACATTGGTACATTACCTCCGCGTCCATTTTTGCAAAGTATTCTTCACTAATTATTCCTTCAGCAACATTTCGCCGTAATTTAGGATTCTTCTTATCTTTTAAATTCCAAATCTTACTTCGAGCTGTGTCTTTATAATGTTTATTGACGGTGAAATTGGAATCTCGGTAAATATAATGTTCGATTAGTCTCGCTTTCTCTGCTAATCGAGATTCCTCTGCTATTGGAGGAAAGAAAGGGGGGTTCGAGTTAATCAAGAATAAGGTTTCGAGTTGATAAAAACGCGAGATGTATATACCTTCATTGATTGTTTTATCATTACCCAAGAGTGCTTTGTGAAGTAAAGTGATACCTATGATTGAATGAATGAATAGAATATTTTCTTTAATGTAATTTCTTCGAAATCTTTAATTATAGAATTTTTCGATTTTAATTGATTGAATGTTATATATCACAAAAAAAAAAAAAAAATAAGAATTCTTTCAAGTATCACTTACAATTATCACGGAACCTATCACCGGTGGCTACTTGAACAGGCATGATTCGTGTGGCGTAGTTGTAACTGATTTTGATTTAGCTGAATATTTATATTAAAAAAGAAAAAACTTGGTATATCAAAAATTTTTTGGCGTAATTAAATTTTATTATTACGAAATATTGTGGAAATATAGATTCACATTAGTTATATTATTTAAAATCAATTTTAAAAAAAAACTAAAATGTTCTCAAGAAAGAGATGAAAGAAAAATTCGAGCCTTTTTATAGTGATTTTTTTTTTTTTTTGATATAATTGATAGAATTGTGTTGTTTATAGTATCATCTGGATTTACATGTGCATTATCAAAATCGTGTAACACGTATTTTTTAAGCGTGTTGTCATGAGACATAATCTAAACTATTTTTGTTACGATATCATAAACGTTTATTTCGATTCAGAATTTAAAGAATTATAGATTTATATTATAAAATCCATATAATAATTATAATGTTTCAGAGTTAATAATGATAAGCCAATTTAAACCTATTATATAAGAATTCAAAAAAAAAAAAAAAAAAAGGAAAAAAAAATTTTTTTTTTTTAGAGATGATTTTTAGCCATCTTTTTTTTGAAAAAAAAAAAATTTTTTTTTGTCTTTGTCCCGGTATCATACGGAATAAACATCATAATAAACATTTGCCTAAATTTATATTTATCAACAGTTACCTAATCTACGTGATCAAAATAAAAACCTGTTATAAACCACAAAAGTATTGATTTAAATGATTGGTCTAATCTACATGGTGTTACGCCAATTTTATGCAAACAAAGGCGTGAAAATCTGTCATGTTAGGGTCGACTGTGAGAAAAAAATTTTGAAAATATAATGTTTCTCCTGGAAAGTTCTGGTGACTACATTTGTGTCACAAGGAAATCAATATATATACAATACTAAAGGATAAAAAAAACTATTTGAAAATTTTGGTAATGAACATCGTGTTCGTTTCTTTCTTTTTCCTGAATTTATATGTCAGTTATTATTTGATGGGAATTAATGGATCTCATTACTAGAATGGCTGAAAAGGATTATGAGTCATAACTATTGTACAATAAACAACATTACGTTATCACCCCACTCATTCATTAAATTAAAAAACTATTGTAATTTGAGTAAAACTCGTTTCTAAACTTATTTTGGTAAGATCAATAATCAGATATAAAAAGTCTGGAAAAGGGGAAGAGGGGAGGAAAGGATTTTTAATAAACATTGTACTACTTTTAATTATTAAATTAAATTAAATTAAATTAAATTAAATTAGGCATCAATTTTTTCTTCTTGTTCTTTCTCAACGAAAAGCTCGGCTTCTTTTTTACCTTGTTCAACATCAACAGTGTATATTAAAAATAATGGAATGATCATCATGACGAGAAGAAACCAAAAACAATATCTTAAATCATGAGTAATATCGCCGATAAACCCTGTTACCAAAGGACCAATCCAACTTGATCCTTTATCAGTTATTTCATATAAACCGAAAAATTCATTCTCGTGTCCTTTTGGAATCATGTTTCCAAACAAAACACGACAATAACTTTGTAGGGCTCCCAACATGAATCCGAAATACACTGCAAATATATAAATCTCTATGGTATATTTAAATCCGATAGGACTCACAAATCCCAATAGTCCATAAATCGGTATTATAGAATGTAATGTTGCTAAAATTAATATCATCGTTTTTGTTGTTAATTCAAGTTTTTGTTGAATGAATAAAAAGGTATAAACCCCGACAAAAGCACTGACGGGAATGATCACCGCGGCGATTAACAATTCCGTGTTTCCGATTTTTAGTGTCTTCTTCCCAAATAGGATAGCAACCGAACCGATGGTATTAAAGCCATCGGATAATATAAACCAAGAGATTAAAAATTTTATTGTTTGAAATAATTGTCTTGTTGACCGAAGTGTTTTACCGACTCTCTTGAATGAATAAAATAAAAAGTTTTCTCCATTTGGTAATGGTGGACCTTTCCTCTTTTGTAAGCAAATTAATGGAAACGTTAAAAGTATTAACCACCATGCACCAGCTAAAGCTGTTCCCATTTGAAGACTGTAAGTAGTTCCATTCATCAAATATGATATTACTACTGCTATTATTAATAGCATAACTCCCGACGCATATCCTATCGCCATTGAATGTGATGACAACCTATTTGCTACTTCTTCCTCGATCCTTGATAAGTCTTGTATCGATATACCTGAATCTTTGGCTTCAACGACACGTGGATGAACTCGCGTAAATGTCGGAATGTACGCTAAATAAAATACAAATCCAGCTCCAAAACATACGTTACTGTTACAACATAATAAAACATCCGTTAACGAGTGTTTCTTAAATGTATGAATTTAAATGATATATATTTTTTAATTACTTACGATATGATGGTAAGCAGTCCTGCTAACCAATACAGGCTGGAATTGACCACTGATAAGAAAGCGATGACAGAGATTGCCCCCATATATGAGAACAACAAAAGTAACTTTTTTTGATTTTCTCCATGATCAGCAAGTGATCCAACTCCAATGTATACCAAACATTGAATAAATACGGATATTGATATGGTATATAAGGAAAAGCTTGCAGTATCAACGAACCCTGTTCCATATTTCGTTACACACTTGTAATCTTTTATGGTGGTATCACAAGGGGTCACGCGGTCCAATTGAAATCCTGCCTCACCTGCTAAATTTTCCAATATTATGGGTATAAAAACCGTTATAGCGACAACACTATATACTTCAGTCTAAATTAATAATGGTGTGTGAAAATGTGATTTTTTGACGTAATTTATTTGCGATATTTTTATTAAGAATTCAACTTACCGCCGCATTATACATATACCATCCTTTTAATTCTTTAGATGTTACTGGAGGTTCTTCATCTTCTTTATCATCTTTAAAATTACCATAGAAATGTTTGAAGTCACTGGTAAATGTTTTTCCTAAAGATAATTCATCGATTGCGGTTATTACTGAATTAACATCCAAAGTTGATGAATTAGGAGTACCTAGTGTTGGTGTGGGTATATCTACATTTATCATCCATGGTTTTTCAGACATTATAAGAAATTTTTTTGTTTATTTTCAATTTAATGAAAAAATTCTCTTTTAAATAATATTACAGCGAGAAAATAGAAATGGTAAATGTCCATTTCTTAACTTCAGGGTATTTATAAGCAATTTGCACATGTGGGCGAATTTTTAGTTTATGGGAAGAACAAAGTAAAAAATTTTAAACATTTATATCCTTAAAAAAATCAATCAAGTATATTACAATAAAATTGTGGATTGCTTTCCTTTTTGATATTTTATCATCCTTATTTATCCATCAAAATATTTTGGAGAATTAAACCTATTTCATATTGACCAATAAGATTAGACACACAGAATTGCTGGTTACGCAAGCAAGCATTCAATTTCCGAATAAGCGATACTGCGATTTTCATTTAAAATTAAATTAAAATCTATTATATCGAACGAAAAGTATTCTACCATCCTATCAGATTGATAAAATAACCATTCTCCTTTTTAAAATATGATTTATTTAAATTGAATGATATTTAATTAAATATACAATTAATTGTGAAACAACATTATTAAATAAAAAAAGTGAAATTTTTGATAATCGTTAAAAGATGATTATTTGTCGAAATCTGACGTAATTTTAAATAAATAATTTCCGAAATAAAAACTTTATACCATTTCCTATTTTTAATTTTCTTGTTTCGTAGTCATAAGTTCAATTCGAACAGGTTTTCGATTGAACCTTAATTCCCCTTACTTTATTACATCACTTGTAATCATTAAACAGGAAGTGAAGTAACACTTTGAAATTTATACTCGAACTTTGACTCCACTCTCTAAATATTGAAAAATGTGAAAACATTTGTAGATCAGGGTGATTGTTTAAGGGCTCAAAATTTATCAATAAAAATTGTATCATTTTCCTCTGAAAAAAAAATATCAAATCCAGGAACATTTAATTATAGAAAAGACTCTACTCTACCCCTTTGTCAAATAATTGTTAAAAATAATCCTTCTAAATCGGTAATTGGGACCAGATTTCAGAATAAAATTCAGGATTTCCGGTAAGATTATTATCTATTTTTAATAAATATTCCCAGGGATGTAGTAAGACCGGTTTTATGGTCCATATTTTAGAACTGGTTTAGAAAAACTAGATTGCATTTGATATATATACATTTTAATATTTTAATAATTTAATAATAATAAAAATATGAACAAAAACAATTATAAATATATAAATAGAAAAATAATAATTAGCATTCTATAAACATGATAAACATGATTAAACGTATTGGATCAAGTTTGCGAAGTTTGTCAAATGAGTGATATCGTCTACATATAAACGATTATTGCGCCTTCTTAATCTCGTTTTTTCTCCAGGACTCAAGACTGGTCTTAGGACCAGTTCCAAGACATGAATGACTTGTGAACAGGTCCGGTCCCAAAGAACCGATTATCTTAAAGTAAAGTGACAAACCAGTAAAAATATAAATCTTCTCTTGAACTGATGATTATATTGGATCGTTAATATCTTTATAATTTAAGGATACTGTAGAGATTTGATTATATTAAAAAGATTATTCGCGCGAAATTCATTTTATTTATTATAATATTTTCATTATTACAACTTGCATATTTCTTTTAGTATCATAGCAAGCATTTAAAAAAGCACCTTTTTTTCAGGAATTAATATCTAGGTAGAATTTAATTTTTAGACCCGAGTATTTTATCAATTAACTAATCTAATATATAAATTATATTCTTCTTCTTTAATTTTAAACAATATGTACTGATGATTCAGGTATTATAATAAAGTTAATTATTATATTGATTTGCATCATTAATTTTACAATCACTTATTAATTTTTTGTGAGATTGAGCGAAGAAAAAAATGTATTGATTCTAATTTTGGTCAAGTTATTAAATAGTTTAGTTTGATTTATTAAAACATTTGTATAATATAGAGGCAGTACTCATTTTTTATTCTATATCAAATAAATGATCAATATGTACACTTTATTTAACCTCAACTACAAATTTAACCTTTTGCTTACCACCTATATTATCTGTCTGCTTAACAATTAAGCAATATTAAAGAACGGACCATAACAATAGCTAGGATAATTTTGCTGTTGTTTTTTTCTTTAGAAGTAAACTTGGCATTTCTGAAATGTGTGTCAGGTTAGTGGCGCAGCATTTATTTGTCACCAATGTCACACCCCCTACGCTTTCACTTTTTATAAGTATTTCAGTGACTTTAAGTGACAGTATTTTTAGAGTTAGGAAAAACCTATTCGTAACATACCCCCTATATATCACATGTGTGACATTACTATATAAATGCGTTACCAACCTGACACTCATTTCAGACATGTGTAAATTTGATACTACTAACAGCTGCAAAAGAGAAGGGGTAACTTTAGTAAAAATAATGTAGTCTTTTAAATCCTCTTTCATAGTATCATTATTTATCATTATCAATAAATTTATCTTGAACAGTTTATGATTAAAGTAGAGTTTTTGGTAGCTTTATCGATCTGCATATTATTATTATTATTATTTAAGAACAAAGAGCTAAATTTCATTGATAGTAGTAATTTTAGAAATGTCAAAAAATTCAAAACCTGTATCTTTATTTTTTGATAGACCAAAACTTCTTTAACAATTTCTATATTAAAGTTAATAAGAACTGCTATTAAATTAAAAAAATCAAAGAAACTGATAACGAGTTAACAGTTTCTTTGAAAATGATAAAGCTTTATACAGAATGAACTTGTTTTTTTTGTAACACTTTTATAAGTGTTAACTTTTTTATGTAAAGAAGATAAATGAAATACAAAAAAAAACTTTTTTATATAAGGTTATTACTATTTATAAGTTACAAAATAAACTTTGAAAATTTTATTTTTCTTTGAAAAATTTTGATTATAAGAAAAGTGAAAGAATTTTTTTTATTTCAAATTAATAAATGTAATGTAATATATATCTCAGCATTATATTCATATATTTTATGACTAATATCATAAAGAAAATTATGTATTTTTATGTATAAAGATTAAATAAAGTAAATAGTTATTTAAAATAAAGTTATACATAATATTAATAATGTTACAGAATTTTTTTATATACTTATATATTAGTTATATCTATTAATTAGTAATTATTTTCCTTGTAATTAATTATCATTCCTGTAATTACTTTTGTAATTATGTCTCCTGTAAATAATTATCACTCCTATAATTAATATTTTTTAGAAAAATAGTAATTAATTATCATAATTATATATTACATATATATCTAATAAGATAATTACTATATTAAATATAATCATAAAGCTAAAAAATACTTTTCCAATTGAAATTTTATTTGAATTTGACCTAAATCAATGGATATGTGATTTTTATCTGTTTTTCTAATAATAATACAAAATCATTTTATTAGATTAAATCCATAATTTTTTTATTATTTAATAAGTAATATCAAAAAAAAGTAATGTGTCAGATTGATCAAATCAGGTTAAATAAAATAATCTTAATATTTTTAATCAATGTATATATATATATATATTAGAAATATGCTACTTTCTTTTATTATTTATTTTATATTGCTACTATTCTTTAGCATTTTTGTAATATTTTTCAAGCCTTGTTTTTAAAGCTAATCAGCTATATTTTTAAACTTACTAAAATTTAATTTTCTATTATATTTGCTTATTTATAATATCAATGGTAGTCAATTAATATTAATATACTAAGAAGAGACAAAAGTATTGTACAGTTTTGATTTAGATATTTTAGTTAATTTATCATATATAATTGAGCCATATTTTTTTTAGTAATATATTAATTAACTTATACTTAATAAAATATTTAAATAATTGTTAAAATTAAAGTATCATAAGATGTAAAATCAAACATTTAAAAACATATTACTTTTCAATTTTTCATAAATATTAAGCTTCATTATAGGATTCAATATTTAGCTTTTTGGATATTTCTTTTACAAAAGAAATTATATAATAATTGTATAATAATATCTTATAATATTTATAATTTCTGAATTACTGAATTCAATTTTTGCTGTAATAATGCTTTTTTTCTAAAAGATAAATCCTTTAATTATACTAATTATACTTCATTTGTATTAAATTAAAATTTAAAAGTATTTTTAAATTCAATTTTATAAATTGCAATATATTAATTTAAACTATAATCTAAATATTCATTTCTATAAAAAAAATAAATATATTATAAATAAAAGTAATTTATCAATTACATAGTGAATACAATATTTATATATTTACTTTGATATATGCCTATAAATATTTTTAATTTTTTTTCTAATTAAATCAATATTTTCTTTTTGAATATTGATTTGCATATATAGATAAACGGCTTTATTCTTATTTTTATTTCTTTATTAGATAATTTTATTAATCATCTCAGATAACTTGTAAGTATCTTATATTTAGGTTTTAAGTATTCTAATTTCTTTTGGTATCATCAGATCATGTTGTTCTAGGCTTATCATATATTTGCATGAAAATGGTTCTAACATATGTTGTAGTCTGTATTATGCGTCCATTGTATAGTAATTGTTACTTGATCTTATTTATTTACATCTACCTTTCTCATATTCATGTCTAAACCTTGGAGTTTGGTAATACCAGTACTCAGATTACAATTCAAATTAGTCACTTATGCATCATAGTATATGAGGTTCAATTCCTCACATGATTATTACTCAATTATAATAAAATATTTCAAATTTCTTAAATTATCTTACTGAGAAATGAAAACTTTTTAATTGATGTATAAATTATTATTACATATATATTTGGTAAATAAATAGATTGTTTTGATTGTTTTTACCATTTTGCTTTTTTTTATTTTAAAAAAAATTACTGAATTTGGATATAATATTTGGCATAGGGAGATTTTATTAAGTTATATTATATTAAATTAAAAATCTTGTACTTACTATAATGAATCTCGATTTTTGAAAGTTAAAATTCGTTATAATGTAAAATTGAA